TGCCTCTGGTAGTGGATCAATATTTATCCCTATTACATGAATGGACTTTGGGAGCTCTTTCCACATAGAGGGATACTCTCTCAGCCTAGACACACGGGGGAGGGCCTAGGCCCTGCTCCAAATAATATGACAGACTTTGAAGATCCCCCATGGAAGGCTTCACCCTCTCTGGGAAGCAGAAAGGAAATGGGATGGGGACTGGTGGGAGGCAAAGGAGGAGGGCAGAGAGAGGGAACTGGGATTGGCATGTAAATCAAGCTTGTTTCTAATTTAAATTAAAAAAAAGAGGTTTGGGTCACTTTAGACACCCTGGTAAATCTTATATAAAAACTGTAGATACACTTCTATATTAATTATGCTGACCTCATCTACTTAGAAATGCTTCTGACTTTATCAAATAATTACTTAAGGAATTACTCAATCCATTTCAGTTTCCCAGTACACTGTTAGCTAGCTCCTCCTGTTTACCCTGGATGACAGAAGTTGGAAAACATACAATGTGAGTTCTTCCCTGGGACTCATCATACTTTCCTTAACGAGGGAAGTGTAAGTGAGTAGAATGAGGGAAAATTCACAATGCCTTGGAGCATTTGCACCCAGGATGCTGTGTCCCCGGGTAGTCTCAGTTGGTTTTGGCAAACTGATGACTGTTACAAACAGCTTAGGAGCTCCAGTGGTACAACTGGTGATACACGGTATTTATAAGATATTCAAAGCTTAAGATACTCAAATGTTTCCTCAAATGTGAGGGAGAGCTGGCCATGACTTATGTCACCCCAGTGATGGCCAGGGTTGATTTGCTGATGTGTCTGGCTAGGCAGGTGTCCCCTTCCTCCATCACCGCTCCACGCGTGTCCCTCTCGAAGCTGCACGCTGGATCGAAGAGGACGATCTTCCCTAAATAGAGGACCGGTCTTTGGTCAAGGGTATGCTGTTGGGAGATGTCATCCTGTAAATATGTGTCTGACTGGTTTGAATGAAGCACTGTTGGCCAATAGGGAAGCAAGATAGGTGGGACTAGGAGTCGAGGAGGATTCTGGGAAAGAGAGGCACAGGCAGACACCATGTAGGCCTCCAGAGTAAGAGGTCCGGACCCTTTTCTCCGGTAAGAGAAATACTTACATCAACAATTATGGGGTAAATACTTAAGTCAGAGCTAGCCAGTAAGAAACAAAGCAAACAGCCATCAGCTTCATAATTAATATAGTCTCCTGTGTGTTCATTTGGGACTGACATGGCTCTGGAACCAGGCTCGTGGGAAGACAACACATATGGTTGTCAGAAGTGGGATCATGAATTTCCACGTAGAATGACAAGAGCTTAAAAGGGATTTTAGAAACTGAGTTTTGTCATGATCCCCATGGTATGGACAGCACCCCCTATCAGCAGGAAGCAGTTTGGAATGAGCAACGTCCAAATTCCCAACATTGTTTATATATCTTTGTTTTCATTTGAATGGGGTTGCTTGTAATTGGTTAATGATCACAACCAATCTCTTTTTAAAGGAAAAAGGGGATTATGGTATGGAAATGAATACTTTGTATTGGTATGGTTTTTCATTATTGATACAAATTCAGGGCCAATTTTGTGATGTGTATATTTCTCTTGATTAAGTATTGTGCTTATACTGATCTTTTAAAATGTAATGCCTAATTAAATACAGATTATAGATAGTTACTTATCATAGTCAGAATTTATAGTTAGGTAAGTTAGGTTTTCTAGATAAAGAGATATATTTGAGATAGATAGTCTTCAAATCTTTCAAAGACTTTCAGAAAATGGCATTTAAAATAGTTTAGGGTTTTTCTTGGCAATGAGAAATGTCTGCTCCTGGCACACCAATTACATCTGAAAGAAAGATGGGGCATCGAAGAGACTCATTATGGAGTTTGCTTTCAACATGGCAAGATTAGCCATTTGGGCAAGAAACTGCTCTTGCCTAGACTGTTTGACTGTTTCTGTATAATCTGGACATGCAGGACCCACATAAAAGTCATTACTGAATTTGGACCCTCTTAAAGGATTCCTTCTTCATGGAAGAGTCTGCTGGACTTTCTGCAGGACACAGAAAATGACTGGCAGACTGCCAATGCAGATGGACAGTTTGAAATGTCTTGCTTTGCTGAGAAGACTTCCAGACACATTGTGGCCTATGGGCTGAAGATGGATGCCCCAACATTACAGAGGAACTTCAGGTGACTGTTCAGGCAGCAAGATGTCTCTTTCAATCCTAGTGTTTATGTATTATCCTTCTGTGGTCTTTGATGGAGTTGAAGACAGATAGTTATAATCATAGTTTTCCTTAGTTATGATTAAAGATAAGCTACATATAAGACTTTAGATTCACACAGATAAGATAGATAATAAAATACTTTCTTTAAATCTTACTAAATGTTAATGGATTAAAATTGTAACTATAGTTCTTGCTTAATAATTGTTCTGTTATATATAATTTAATTATGTTGAAATTAAAACCTTTTATTTTAGACAGAAAAGAGGAGATGTTGGGAGATGTCATTCTGTAAATATGTGTCTGACTGGTTTGAATGAAGCACTGTTGGCCAAAAGGGAAGCAAGATAGGTGGGACTAGGAGTCAAGGAGGATTCTGGGAAAGAGAGGCACAGGCAGACACCATGAGGCCTCCAGAGTAAGAGGTCTGGACCCTTTTCTCCGGTAAGAGAAATACTTAGATTAACAATTATGGGGTAAATACTTAAGTCAGAGCTAGCCAGTAAGAAACCAAGCAAACAGCCAACAGCTTCATAATTAATACAGTGTCTTGTGTGTTTATTTGGGACTGACATGGCTCTGGAACCAGGCTGGTGGGAAGACAACATATTACAGTATGCGAGTATCTATGCTCCCCTGTTAGAACCTCCAAACAAGCTCTCAAATATTTCCTCAAATGGAGCCATAATTCATAAGGTCATTCATTTTCCAATAATCTAAATATATCTGCTTTACAGGAATTTTCAGCTTTCAGAATAATGTCTGGCATCTGAGCTCTTCACATATGTGCCCTTGCCAGGTTCAGCTTGCATTCTCTTCAATTCCTCCTCTTAAAGACCAAACCCCCACACTCCATCACTCCAGACACAGCATCACACTCTATCCACACTCTATCACAACAGACACAGCATCACAAGTCTATCACAACAGACACAGCATCACAAGTCTATCCACACTCCATCACTCCAGACACAGCATCATGACTCTATCCACACTCCATCACTCCAGACACAGCATCACAACTCTATCCACACTCCATCACTCCAGACACAGTATCACACTCTATCCACACTCTATCACAACAGACATAGTATCACAAGTCTATCACAACAGACACAGCATCACAAGTCTATCCACACTCCATCACAACAGACACAGCATCACAACAGACACAGCATCACAACAGACACAGCATCACACTCCATCACTCCAGACACAGCATCACAACAGACACAGCATCATACTCCATCACTCCAGACACAGCATCATAGCTCCAAGGTTTCACCCTGAATGTCCCTCCTAACCCAAGTGAGCAGGGCTCATTTTGTAAATCCAATTCAGATGGAAAGGCCTCCAGAAAGGTGTCTTCAGTCAATCCTTTTTAATTTACACTCTTTCAATACTCACCACACATACCTTGCTTTGACAAATACATATCTACTCTCCAACTAGTTAATGAGAACCATTTGAACACATGCAGCAATTCTGACTAATGGATTTTGGGGATATGTGATGTGTTAGACTCTCTTAGGTGCTATAGATGAAAGAGAAAACCCACTTCCCACCTTTAATGTGCTCACAATGTCCCATAACACATGCTCTGAAATAGCATTATTTATTGGAAGGAGGTGGAGGAGGGACTCTTACACTTAAGTCTACGTGGTGGTGCCAGGACAAGTTCTCCCAGAGCAGCTATGATGCAACCTGCTTAGGAGGGAGTCTCAGTCAATCTAGCAACACATCGATGAGGGCTCTTCTTTGTTTTTAGTAAACAGGTATTAAAGCACGAGAGCCTGGCAAATGTAAGTGTCTATGAATGTACAGATGGCTTGCCAGCGCTGAAATATAAATAAAAGGAATGCACTGATCAATGTGTCTGTGATTTCTCAACTTCAACTTCTTGTTTCCTGGCTGCTGAGGAACTTGTCGTATATTAAACTGCAGAAGCAAGGCCACCACAAAACAGATGCTCAGTAAAGCAGCTGCCTCTCTTTGCCTACACAACAGCTTTTCCCATCCCTAAGTGCTGAATCTGTTTTTATGAACACACTGTCAGTGTCGCTGTGTCAGCAAAAGGGGAACTCTCCAAGACAACGCAGCACAGGGATTCCTGCGTCAGTGCTTATTTACACGCCATTCACAACGGTTATGCTATGGAGTGGACCCAAATGTCAACATCAGAGGAACAGACAAGCACAATGTGGTTCACATATACAATGAAACTTTTCAGCCATTAAGAGGCCAGACTCATGCCATTTGTAGAAAATCAGATGCAAATGGACATGGCCATAAAAAAGTAAGGACAACCTCAGGTAAATATTGTGTATTTCCTCTCAGTTGTGATTCCTGGATTTTATATAGATACATAAAACCATGCACACACATTTAATACGAGAGTAAAAACAAAAGAGTTTAGGAAGACAAGGGAAATGGATGGGATGAGAGAAAGGAAAGAAAAGAGAGAGCAGAATCACACTAAGCATACAATGTGGACATGGGTTGTGCAGGAACTAAATAGACAGACAGATAGTTCCCTATTAGTGGATCCCTAGAATCACAGTCTGCCTTATCTATGATCCTATACACTGCTTTGTTCGTTCATTATTTATCTGGATCTGTAACAAAAGCCTGGTGTTAAACTTAGAGCAAGGGTGGGCCTGACGTTCCCTGACATTCCTATGCATCGTAGCTCCTACAGGAAGCATCTAGGAGGAATGGGTCGCACTTAGTGACATGGGCTTTGGCTCCATGGAAGGAAGTGACATCTCACCTTTGGTCCTCGGACTCTGGTAGTTTTTCCCATCAACTTTTCATCATCGATTTCGCATTGCTCCAGGAGATCCAAAATGTCTTCCTCCTTCAAAAACATTATTAAAACCGTCATCACTAAACAAATAAAGACTTTTTACAAGTTCAATAGTCTCTGCAAGTTCATGTACAGTGATGATTCTAGAAACTATGCAGGGGTAATTACTCACATCGAAGAAGGAAACATAAAAGGCAAACTCTCCATCATATGCAAGCATACCCTTTCCAGCATACTACCAAAATCTCAGAATACCCAACTTTACTAGATTAGCTCACCGAACATTAAGATACATAAAAGCCCATGTTCATCTCCCAGTCTTCATCCCATTAATCATTCCTATACTGATTGGTACAATTTACTATTAAAACTCTCGACACAGAAAATGAAAACTGGCCTGAGAGTTTCATTTAGCAAGAGCTGAACGTGAGAATTTGGTTAAGGGGAACCATTTGATGAAGCGGCTTAGAAGTTTTGTGAGGATATTTTACAGTCTTATAAAATATTTTCATTGTTTGGCTATCACTGGTAGGGGAACTCTTTGAGCACCCCGACAGCTTTTGCTTACGCTCCTGTGAAATCATTTTGAAGTCAAAGGAAAAACATGGGACTATACACTGCTATTGGGAGTTAGGCAAAACAGGGCCGCTGTCCCGAGGGGTGTAATCAAACATCTCATTGTGTCACCCAGATACCAACGCTGACAGAACTATGTTCCCACAGCTGTGATTTATACTTCAAGAATCTCCTTAAACTTCGCTGGAGAAACCAGGAACCACATCTCGCAGGGGAAACGTATTTCGGTCTAGGAAGGACAGCTCTAAACAAGCGGAAGGGCGCTGGCCACGGCCCTATGGTAGAGCAGGTGGACAGTGTCGTCACAAACTCCAAACTAGCCTCAAGGAGGCTTGATTCTTGTCCAGAAGAAATACGCCTCTTTTTTTTCCCTCTCTGAGAACACTTGCCCTCTTACCCTCATCTTTTTCAGGGGATTGCTCAGTTCTCGCTGGAATGTAGTTGCTCTTCCTGAAAGAAAGGTCTGGAATGCAACAGCCAGCAAGCTTTCATACTTCTCAAGCAGGGTTTTGTCTTCAGGAGGATAGATTCTCCTGCAAAGAGAAAAAGAAAAAAAGAAAAGAAAAAGAAAATCAGAGAAACCCATCTTCTTAAAAGAATCTAACACAACTCAATAGTTAAGGTCAGCTGTTTAGAAAACCAGTCGCCCTCCCTTCTCTGAGCCAAGTAGGTACTAGAAACAAGCAAGAATGATTAAGCAGGAGTCACAAATATCCATCTGGTATACCAGCTAACATTTACATGGAGATGCTTCACTGAACGGCACAGCCCTGGAAGGTGCAGCATAGGGTTTGGCTGAAAACAATGCATGAAGAATGGTGACTGGAGAGTTGGTGAGGTATTGGACTCTGAGGGGCGTGTCCTGAGGGCCTGGGATAATGCAGAAGGTGTGTTGACTGTGTGAGATTATACATACTCACCTGAACAATCTCTCTGAGGCAGGGAAATAAAGCCAGAGTAGAAGCAGAGTGAAAAACACATTTTGCCCTCTCCTTGCTACTGTGGAGATGTGAATCCCAGAAAATAATGTCTTAAGGAAGGGTAAGAAAATCCACCCCCTCCCCCACCTTTTACTAAATTCTGAGGAGGCAACATGAGGTTGGCTGGAAGGAGGGACCATCTTTCCAAGAACATTAAGGGGTCCCTTTTTGTGCTTCCCAGGGCAGTACTGTGAAGATCCGCCACACCCTTGTCTGCATCCCCACCCAGACCCTTCAAGTACTACCTTGCTTTGCGTGGTAGTTAAGCAATAAGGCTTGCAAGGAAGTATAGCAATCACCAAAAACTTCCAGGAATAGTGCGACCCGAGTTCTGACTTTCTTAAAATAGTGCATAATGGCCAAGTACAGCCACAGTTGGTTAAAAACCTCCCAAGGCAGGGCAGAAGTGGGCTGGCAAAAGCTTCCCCCGAGTCAAAATCATCTACTTGCAGATTCCCCTTCCTCTCCTGAAACACAGTGAATGGAAAGCTGTAGCTAACGAAGAAGTCACTAGTAATGAAAAACCATTGACCAGACACCTCTTCTGTCTCTAAAACAAACAAATGGTATGGGGTGTAGGAGGAAGCCTGTATGCCGCCATTAACCATGTGACTTACTAGAGGCACATACAGATGAGGTAATAAAAGAGTGGTTTACCACACCGCTAACCACACCTACTTTAGGCATGACTAAAGACATATATGGACGGACGTAAAGACGTATATGTACGTAGGCGGTGAACTACGTCACTAGCCAGGCCCACTTTTGGGCATGGCTAGGGGGGCGTTACGGGGGAAGGCATAAAAGACAGCACAAAGGAAGTCTTGGTCTCTTTTCCCGGATTTCGGCTTCCGGTTCGGCAGCGGAAAACTACTGGGCTCATCTGGGTTATTTGTTTGGTATCTTGTGAGTAATTTCTACAATAAATACTTAGTTTTACTTTCAGTAAGTGTGCCGTTTATCGTTACAGCGTCATTTGGAGCCTCAATGGGGTATTTGTTCATTTATCAAGGTGCACTGCTGTGACTGGTATCATTAAAGACTGGGCAACCAATAGCTAGGCAGGGAGTACAGGTGGGATTCCCAGGGAGAGAGAGGAAGAGGAGGAGAAATCTAGGATTGTGGGAGACACCAGAAGACACAGAGAGGAAACAGGAGGTGTGAGATGGAAAAGAACACTGCATGATAAGACATAGATTAATATAGATGGGTTCATTTAAGTCATAAGAGCTAGTTATGAACAAGCCTAAGCTATAGGCCGAGCATTTATAACTAGTAGGAAGTCTCTGTGGCATTATTTGTGAGTTGGTGACCCAATTCAAAAATCCTACTACCAACAAACAGGGACAAAAAATTACCTGTAGTTCCCCATATGTCGGTTTTCATGCTCTTCTCGTGAAACCTGTTTCCGTACTTGAACAAGTCTCTCTTTCTAAGAGTGAACAGATTTTATAAACAAGGTGCAATGAGTCGCACAGTTCACACTGCGGGCCTTGTGGTTAAATGTTCACACCGGGCTGCGGGGTACCTGGGTGGCAGAGCGCTTGTGTGTCACGGGTTCACCGCATACCAGTGCCAGACAGAATTAAAAACAAGCCAATACCCAGTGGCCCCACATCCCCCGCATCCCCCGCATCCCCCACATCCCCCACATCCCCGTGCCCCCGCATCCCCGCATCCCCGCATCCCCGTGCCCCCGCATCCCCGCATCCCCTCATCCCCACACTCCTGCACCCCCGCATCCCTGCATCCCTGCATCCCCGCATTGCTGCAAACCAGGTCCATACCAACTCTTCTTTCCGCCTCTCCAGCTGGTGCCTCTGCTGCTCCCAGTCAGAGGAGCCCGGAGAAACCCTTCTGATCGAGTTCTGACCATACAGCCTCTTTTGAGCCTCGGCTTTCTGCTTGGCCAAGTTTTTCCTTTTGTCACTGGTCCTAAAATGTGAGAAACAAGACCATAGCTTTCTCTGCAGAAAACCTGATGCCGTCCCTTTGAGAATTTAGCTGAAAAGGAAACATGCGGAAGCAGGAACGAGGTCAAGTTTCTATCTTTGCGTACTTCTGTTCACCTAACAATCAACCAAGAGGACTCTGTGTGGAAGGCGGTGCTTTCGAAATAACACAAGAAACAGAAATCCTTCATGTCTTCAAGAGTCCAAGGGACCTGGTTTCATATTCCATCCTAGAAATGCAATCCTTAGTGAATTAAATTCTGGATCTCTCTCCACATCCTTTAAGCTTAGGCAAACTAACTTTTCTTCCTCCTCCATGTATTAAAAGACTCATTCAAGGTGATTAACAAGTGTCCCTCTCTTGCTTTTACCAATTTGTTGAATGTAAGCGCTCAGATCGCAACACCCATAAGTGCTAGGGAACACTCATTTTCCTTTCATGGCATCGAGGCTTCGGGAGCTCAAGTGGTTCAAGGTTGAAATAAAAGGGATAATTTGAGAAAATAAATAAAGCACACTGATAAAACTGGAAGTCATTCAGTAGAGTCAGCGGCAACGGTTTACCGCCCGTTGGAGAGCTTTGTCTATAACTTGAGGCAGAAAAGGAGCCCTGGAGGGGCCTGGTCATATCTGCCTGTGTGAAAAGCCACGCCCTTGCCAATGCACACTGAGTGCAAAGGCTTCCAAGCAGGGATGAAAGAGAAATTCAAAACTGAATGCTATTTTATCAGCAAACGGGAAGTACGAGAGTGTGGACCACAGCAGCCGGAGTGGGGTTGGGAAAAAGGCGAACACTGGGGAAGATTCTGAAAGAAGAATGGATGTAACACGAGGAACAAGACAGATTTCCGATGTCAGGGACTGGGCGACTAAGAATATCATTGTTCCAATGATGACTGCAAGTCTGGCGAAGTGTGCTCAGTGGAAATAAAATGCCAGATCTGATAGCTATTTTTTTATTATTAATATTATTATTATTTAATATTCTAGCTTTTCTAGAATGATCACTTGTATATAGCATAGAGAGAAAAGGAAAAATGAGATGAAAGAATAAAGACCAAATAATAAAAGGGAAGGGGGGAGGAACACAAGGAGGAGGGACCTTTTTTGCTTTTCTTGTTAGTAGTGGGACCTTTTATTAGGAAAAAGCACAGAGCCAAGCAGGGAAGTGCAGTGCCTACAGGAGCCCAAAGCATCAGAATTTCTCTATCAAACACTGTGCTGGGTGACGGGGAAGGAGCTGTCTCCAAGAAAATGACCTCTGTGCAGTTCAGCCAGGTCTACGCAGGAGTTGTCTCCCAGCTTTTATTTCGTCTCACTCATAAGTAATAACACTGCTATCAGAGACCTGGGGGCCTCTCTCCTCCTGCTCCCGCCAGAACTGTAGCTGACTAGCTCTCCATGAAAGCTGGCCATTTGTCAAGCACGCCAGACGCCCCTCTTTCTCTTTAGCATGCACTCACCTTCCTTCTTGTTTCCTATCATGAAAAGACGCAGCATAAAGCCCCCCCCCAAGAATCCAAGACCATGCAAGCAGCATGTTTGGGGGCTTCCTTAACTGTGAGAAAGATATACCTGTTTACTCTATAAATTTCTCAGCCTTGGGTACTTGGCTATAGCTTCAGAAAACTGTCCAATACAACAAGCAGCAGAACCTAAGTCACCCTGAGATAGAAAGGAAATTCTGACACAAGATGCTATATGGGAGAACTTAAAGGCTACCCTAAATGAAAACTGCCAATAATAAAAGGGAAAATAGTGTATTTCTGCCCCAATTACTACCAAGGACTTGGACCTGTTTTTACTAAAAGTGCTGACTCTTCGCTTGGGCATGTTGATGCTGTGCTTGGAGAAGTGCTAAGACTAATGGCAGCCATGGATTCGACTGATGGGAGATGTCCTTCATCCACATTTGACAACATTCACTGGTTCGTAACAAAGAAAGACGCGAGCGATAGTGTCAGCATGCTGACGTGACGGTTTGCCATTAGCTTGCAGAGAAAAGAGCTATGGACTGCCTCCCATCCTCACCACTGTCCCTGACTCCTTCCCACACACGTGGCCTTGTGAATCCATCCAGGAATCTCTCTCCCTTGCCCCAAGTGCGCCAAGTGCTGGTAGCACAGAGATGCTGAAAGTCCTGTGACTGGCCCTCCTCTGATCCTCAGTGCCTTGGCCACTTTGAATGCATGGCTCTTCAAGACACGTGAGAGAATTCTACCTGCTTGTTACAATCGCAAGCTTCACGTAAAAAGCGCTTTATCAACTCCAGATAAAATAGGCTCTTCTAAATTCCCAGCAAATGTGTATGCTTATATCTAACATCTGTGAGATGGAGGTCCACATTATTGTAAGTGGGGGAGAAAATGAATAACTCAGGATAAACATGACTAAACGGGGAAAAACTCAGTTTTGGCCATATTGAATTTAAATGTGAGATGCATTATCCATTCATTCATTCACTTGTGATGGGGAAGTCCTGTGTATCTGTCAATAAAACACTGTTGGCCAATAGGGAAGCAAGACAGGTGGGACCAGGAGTCAAGGAGGATTCTGGGAAAGAGAAACACTGGGAGACATCATGTAGCCGCCATAGAAGTAAGAGGTCCGGACCCTTTCTCCGGTAAGAGAAATACTTAGATGGGTTAAATACTTAAGTCAGAGACAGCCAGTAAGAAACAAGCAAATGGCCAACAGATTCATAATTAATATAGCCTCCTAAGTGTTATTTGGGGACTGCAACTGTGGCAGAGCCCAAGCGGCTGGCAGGGGAAAAACCAAAGTGGCTGGCAGAGGAAAACTACATGTTACACACTTGTGTATTCATTCACCGCCTTGCTCTTTAGTATGTATGTACATATTTACACCCTAGGCCAAAATCCTGCAGCATTCACCATCAGCAGATAATGTCAGACAGAGGCTCTGTGCTCCAGTGGGGGCCAAAGTCGGCAAAATACACCTCAATCTGTGTGTCTCTTCATGCATGCACGACTCATGGACTCCGGGGTCACACACACAAGCATGGGTGAAGCTGACAGGGCAAAGAGAAACGAGGCACAAGCACATTGATGGACACAGCAAGCAGCGGACAGGAGATAAAAGGGGGGACCATGAAGATCCAAGCCCAATGAACTCCAATGAGAGTCAGGGAGGCATAGCAGACCAACATACGGAGGAGGCGGGTACTAAATGCTCAGGCTGGTAGCCCATGAATTAGCCCTAGGTAGGAAATGAGCATTTCATTTAACCTAATCCAACTCACAAATATTTCCGACCTGGGGCTCATGGGACTGTGGATGTCTTCTTTGGATTCTGCCTTTTATGCCTGTAGTAGAAGAGACTCAAGGAGGATGAAATCTGCACGAGAACGCCAGCACACCACAGCAGGTCTTCTCTGACTACAGGTGGAAGGGCTATCATTTGTTCCACACACGGGGCCCGAGAAGGCCACACATAACAGTTTCCTTTGAAACTCAAGCCTCGTGCTTCAAAAAAGTATTGTCTGAATCTGCAGTCACACTACATCCTGCTAAGGGTACACGGGGCAGTTCCATCAGCTCCGCACGGGCTTCTATACTTACAGCCATTGGGATGGGTCTTCCGGAGCTAGGCTCTACTGAATTTCCTAAAGATGAAAGCACCTAGGTCTAAAGTGGACTTGGAGGCATAGATAGAGGCATGCCACCGGTAGACTGTTGTAGTAAGATCTGAGAAACTCCAACTGCAAGGAGCATACATCAAGTTAGAAAGTCAGCCATGACAGGAAAAAAAAAACATCACGGAGAAAAAGGAAGAAGTAAAGTGATAAGCTCTGTACTAAGCACACACTGATGCCACCAAAATATTAAAGGATGGAAAGATTAACTAGGGTCAAAATGTAGATTTTTATAATAAAATATGGTATGCAAGTTACAGAAAGCAAGGAAAAGCATTCACTTCGACTAGGGAACAGAAGAAAACCAGCTGAAGACATGGAGAAAACAATGAGATAATCAGCTAGCTAGCACAGCTTTGAGAAAACACAGAATTATGAAGATATAAGAGTTATATAGTTGTGTTTAGGAAAGCTTAGCCATGGTATTTACCAAGAAAACTCTGTTTGGGTTCCTAAGAAGGAAGACAAATAATGAAGGAGAAAAATCTCCATCCCGGTAGTCAAAGGGAAAACAGCATTCTGGAATCACAGAGCATATCAAGATGAAGACCATAATACTGAATACAAGGAAGGACTTCCCTACTGTTCCTGATGTAAGTCACTATGGTATGCGCAGCACAGAACCAGCCACAGAAACATGTGCTGCAGACCCTCCATGGTTGAAGAGAGAGACACATGCGCTAAGGATTAAGACCGTGTTATGTCCTGTGGAGAACATGAAGAGAGACAAGGAAGGAGCCCTACGCTCACACCTTTAGAAATTTCTCGCTCCTTAAATTATAGATGTACCTCACTTTGAAATAACCAAAATACCTACAGATAGTTTGTGAATCGCTGTCATCATCTGTCAATCTAAAGACACACCAAGGGTATCCCTACGTTAAACATAAGGCTCTACTAAAATAGAAAAGCATGTAAAAATACAGCTGATATACCCTAAAGTCACACAGTGCATAGACTGAAACTCGCAGGTGCGTGCACCTGTCATAAGCCACAGAAGCCTTGTGGGAATGTCAAATCAAACTTCAGTGTCCCTGTCCTCTTTTCACGATGTTTTCCGTATAAAGCAAGATCTCGATGGCAACTGCTAAATACCTGAAAATATTTTAAATAAGGAAATTCCTTAAAGTATTCCACAACTCTTTGAGAGTTCTTGAGTGCAGATAAGAATAAGCTGAGCATAAAATCCCCAGCTGACCTTCAAAACCCTCTAATCAAGGCCGGGTATACATCGTAGAGCAGCTACATTAAGTATCTTTTTTTCTCTTTTTTTTTCCTTGATGAAACAGGTTTGTTTTACGTGTCCCAAGCTGGCTTCAAACTCACAGTCCTCCTGCCTCCCCTTTAAGCTCCGTTCATAAGGATTCGGAATACCCAAATCCGTGACATGGTCGCTTCAAGCAGCTCTCCCCAGCCACCCATGGCTCCTCTCATCCTTCTCACTGTGTCTGCCTTTTCCAGTGACAGTCACCTCACTGAACAATGGCATCTTTTCTATTTATACAGAAGCAAGACCGAGAAGAAAGATTAATGAAGATAGGACATCCATGTTTAAGATTTTCTGGGTGTTTACCTTCCCCTCAACGAGAGGATGGTAAGCAAGAGGGTCTCCTACCACACCGATCAATCTAACCTTGTATTCTAGGATAATCTCTGTGATTGAACAGCAGTTACCGCAGGTGCATAGTGCTGTATGGGAAAACAAAGGCCGTGGGAAACGGAAAATGGATAGGTGTTTGTTTGAAACAATGTGGGTTTGCAGAATGGAATGAAAAAGGCCTAAATGTAAAACACAAAAATATGAAGATTCACTATACAAAACCAGTTGCATGTGTGAATGCTTTATCGGTGACAAAGGTGGGGACCCCAGAGGGTGGGAGAAAGGTTCACCTGATGTTTTGGGGACCCCAGACAGTGAGGGAAAGGTTCACCTGATGTTGGGGACCCCAGGGAGTGGAGGACAAACTCACCTGATGTTGGGGGACCCCAGGGAGTGGAGGACAAGCTCACCTGATGTTGGGGGACCCTAGAGACTGGAGAAGCTCACCTGATGTTGGGGGACCCCAGGGAGTGGACGAGAAGCTCACCTGATGTTGGGGGACCCCAGGGAGTGGAGAAGCTCACCTGATGTTCAGCAGCTTCAGTGCGTTTAGCAGAACTCCCCTTTTGACATCATAATCTATTTTCTGATCAGTGCCAAAACTTGGGGCTCGATTAATCTGAAATTTACAGAGAAAACATGAGTTTGGCTGACTGTCGGGAGGTCGATACGTAATCCAGTCATGTTTGCGAACTGGTGATTTCCAGTCATCGGTCTCACGTGGAAGATGCTCCAGTCACCACAGCCACACCCGTTTTCCTATTGCCCGCTGGCAAACAACTGCAGAGGAACATCTGCAAGCAGCGACTCCTCCATCTACAGTAACAGTTTCTCAACCCGCGGGTCATGACCCCTTGGGGGGCCAAACGACCCTTTCACGGGGGTCTCCTAAGACCATCAGAAAACACAGGTATTTACATTATGATTCATAACAGCAGTAAAACTACAGTTATGGAGTAGCAATGAAATAATTTCATGCTGCACAGCATGGGGAACTATATTAAAATGTCTCAGCTTCAGGAAGGTTGAGAACCGCTGCTCTACAGGTTTAGTATATTCTGTCAGCATTACCTGGGCAACCTGGGCACTCCAACCTACTGGCCCATGCCATCAAGCCTTAGAAAAGGTAAAAGTAACTTATCTTGAGAGCTGGGAAGACCCGCAATAGATACATTTCTGACGTAATAATAGTCACACGTAATGTGTGTGCTTAGCTCTCTCCTTTTACCACCTAAGATCTTCCTGACGGGTTCTGTTGCTTCCTACAAAATAAATTTTGTTTCTACCTGGCTCAACAGTGATTCATTAACTTTGATCTCGGATATCACTGGTTCTACCACCTGGAAGACATTCCTGATGACAGGCACAGGCTGGGCTCAGTTTTCCATCCTGAGAGTGTTTTGAACGCTTAGAAATTTCTTTAAGTTTGCCACTGACAGCTGTTGCTGGGATCCCAAGTAGCTAGACCGTCTCATGCTCCGAGGCGCCTCCGTTTTATTCCACATGGTGGCGCCAGAAGGTTTTTAACACTGAGTGTGAGCCTGGCAGCAGCATCAGTTGGCAGCAGAACTCAGAGCAGGCTCTCAAAATAGGACATTCAGCAATCTGAACATGCAAACTGTTCACTGCTCACAGACAGCAATGCTGTGGGGGGTTTTATTAGTGATTCTGCATTGAGCAAGGCAGAAACAATGATGAAAGATAAAGAACGAAGAAATGTGTGTATTGCGAGCCTTTTAAAGAAAACGTACAGGATCCAGCTGTTAAGTGGGTTCTAATTTAGCAACCTGATGGAAAGCTCCTATGAACAAATGCTTTTTTGTAAGGGCAAATTCGGATTCTATATAAAGTTCTGATTCCCAGCAATCCTCTTATTTCATCCTTGTGAAACATGAGCATGCCTTCACTTCTCTACCCGGGTATCAAGGGTAAATGACGAGGGCATGACCAGAGGAAAGCACAGCAACAAGAGGGAATAACTATCAAGGTCCAAGTGTCCAGTCTCCAAGATTCCAGGCCTTACTAAGACAGACGGTCCATGCTACACAGCCAAGTACTTTTCCACCCAAGCATTGCAGAAGCAAAGAAAACATGATTCCACCAAGTCTTGTTTCTAGGACCAAGGCTGGACTAGCTAGCAGAAAAAAATGGATTTTCCTGAACGTATAATACATGTTATTTGCCCAGAATATATGAATACACTTCTCTTTCTCTCCCTCTCTACCTCACTCAAGCTAGAAAAGCGTGATCTCCTTTAAAATGTTTTGAGCCAAAGTCTCACTTAGCACACGTTCAGGTTTGCTTGCAAAAACCTGCAGATTCTGGGGTGGCTTCTGACTTCTCCATTACTATCCAACAAGAGGGGCATCCTCTGGAATGAAAGGTGGTGGCTGACTGCAACTTTGGTGGTGTATGTTCCTTCAACTCTAAGTCACTCTGGGGACATACTTCAAATGAGTGTGTGAGTTAGCCCTGAGAAGTTAGATTCTTTCTGTGACCACAGTTGAGGGTCCTAGAGAAAGCGCCTGGACAGAAGACAGCTGTAAAAGGCTTGTAGGGTTCTGTGTGAGTTACACAAATACTAATGTGGCTACTACACAATATACCAGTATCTTAAGCAGAGGGCGTTTTGATATACTTCATAATGTTCTATATATTAGGTGACATTTTATAATTAAAAATAATGAGAGGGGACAGGCAGCAAATCCAAAGACATTCAGTTTTTCAGGAATATCAAATGGCCGTAAGGGAGGATTTATGCTCACCGCAGTGTTGAGTACTGGGTGCTGAATAAGTGAGCTAGCTGGAGCCCCTCTCCCCATGGAGTACTTAAAGACACCCAGTGTCTTTAATATCCAGAGCTCATGAAGTGGCAGGTAGAAGCCACTGGATTGAGAAAATACTCGTGTAACCAGCCAACAGCTCAGAGAGGCAGCAAGCTCACACTTCAGCTCACTCGATGCTAATGAGAGGAAGCGATATGAAACCATATTGATTCATCTTTGGAAACGTTCTAGTCCCAGAATTTTCATTCACTTCCTCCCACACACTCCACTCAGGCCTCATTCCAGCCAGTGAGTTGGGGACACCTGTGCCAAGCGCACATCTGAAACTCAGTCTTTATTTAAATACATAAGAACAGTGCTGTCTTTTTCCCCCCCTTAGAGAATACCTTACCTCCAGAAGCCATGGCTTTAGCTTTCTATCCAACAAGATGTCGAACCCCAGGACTTCAAAACAGACGCTTTCGCTTCCTGGGGGCTGACCAGGTCTGCACATCCGATAAGCATGCAGGACATGAGGTTCTGCTACAATCATCGTCTTCACCACCAACTCCTACCGAGGTCGGGATGAAAGAGGCGTAAATGCCTTTACGTGGATGGCGCTACGAAAATGTCCTGGGGACAAACGAGCATCCCGGGTGGATTCCCCGGTGTTCTTGGCTGCTCCAGCTGCTCTTCCTGACTTCCTCTAGCTCTGCCCTCTGCCCTTTGCCCACCTGCCGCTTCGCTCTGACCACACTCTTTGAATTTCTCTACTTCTTCCCACCTGGGGCTCTGTGTGCTGCCCCGTCCTCCTGGAGATTCCTCCCTTAGATTCTCATGCCTGGTCACTAATACTCAGACGAGGCTTCCACGATCGTGCTTGAAAATGCATCCCATTACCCACAGCAAGCAACCAGTTGATGCTTTTCTCTCTGCATTTGAGCAAGACCCTGTACTTCCTCTTTTATTCCCCCCACCATCCCAGCATCCATAACAGTGCCTGGCATTGGAGATGCTTAAAAACATCTGCAAACAAATAAGCAACATAAAAAAAGAAACATAGACTAGCCATTTACGGAAGGAAAAAAAGAGTGACAGACAAGAAAAATTCTATGGAGGGTACAGCATTTCCCAAACAGCGTTATGGACCCTCCACTTAGACAGCCATTGAAGGGGTTAGGAAGAAAGAAGTCATGGCTGCTGCTTTTACTCATGGTGCTGGTTTGTACCCTGTAAAGGTTTCTCTGAGAAAGGAATACATCCTGGCTATCACAGCTGGAGAGCTGCCTCGGTGGTTAAGAGAACTTGCAGAGGAAGCCAGTTCCGTTTCCAGCACCCACAGGGCAGCTCACAACCATCTAACTCCAGTTCTACGTACTCTGGTGCCCTCTTCTGACCTCTTCCTGTACCAAGCACACACAGTACACATGTATATGCACGCAAAATATCCACACATATAAAATAAAAACAACTTTTTGGAGCTCTCTATCAAATTTTTCCATGAGGAAACAGTAGAATATGGGAAAGCTGGCCACTTTACTAACCTGTTCTTACATCGGTTTCCTAACTCCTACTGTCTGAAAATAGGTAACCAGAAAGATGGTTACGACCTTGACTCCTTGGTCGCTTCTGGGTTTATGCCTAACTCTCCTGCTTCTTGTCTAGGAGGCAAAAGCACGTTGCTTCAATTCTGTGTCTTGTTTTTCCTGAATGTAAGCCACCAAGGGGCAGGCTGCTAGTCTGGGCACAATTCCAGCACAGTGTCTAGAATAGGGTAAACCTTCACTAAGTGTTACTACTTAACTACTGCTCTAGATGTGGTCTGTCGTTTCTCAGGAGTCAATCTCATGACTCGGTGAAATAGTCCACCACTGGGTGGATGCAATATTACATGGAAGAGAAACAAGGAAAGGGGTATTAACCCCATTGCTGCCACCCAGAAACATACATCAGTTCAAATAACTGCATACACACAGACACTTCAAGGTTTGTAACAACGTATTTGGAACAGTTTTAAAATATTCTCATTTAACGGGTTGTTTGTAATCGCTATATGCATTCTAACAGACTAATAACACATTTATAGACAAGATTATGCAATGTGTCAGAGATTAAAGGACTTGCATTAGTATTTCGGGCTCACATCTAAAAATTATACTTCAGGATCTAACATAAAAGCTCATTTCCATACCCTCCCTTCGTCTTGTTCATGCACTTTCTCCTAACTCAATTTGGCGGGGAAAATGCTGTCTAAAAAGTAGTGTCTGAAGAGGAGTTTGTGACCACTGTTCTCTGGCTGGTCCTTCATCCCTTATTGAGGCAGCCCAGTAGATTATGTTTTCACAAGAGCAATCTCAGAGACCCAAACTCATATGGAAGCTAATGTACTGGTAAAGAAGGAAAGAAAATCCAGACTGTCAGAAGGTGTATAGTAGTTTCTTGGTTCCACTGAGACAGTGATCTAAGGGCTTGGAGTATATGGGTGCGTGGGTGAATGGAAGGAAGGAAGGAAGAAAGGAAGGGATGAGAGGATGGGTGAGTGAATGGATGGATGGATGGATGGATGGATGGATGAAAGGATGAATGAGTGGGTGAGCGGGTGAGAGGAAGGAAGGAAGGATGAGTGGATGGATGGATGGATGAAAGAATGGATGGGTGGGTGAGTGGATGGAAAGGTGGGTTCATGGAAGGATGGATGGATGGATGGAATGATGTATCTATAAACAAGAAAAACTCTTTTCCTTCATTTTCAAACTAATTCTATGCCTAAAATAAATTTCTTCCTATTATTTTCCAGATATAGCATGCCTTCTCCCTTCCACTCTTCCTGAAAACAGATAAACCCTTGACCATCTTCTGCATTATGGACAATCAGTTACTCCCAGTGTCGGCCTCCCTGTCCCTCTTTCAATAGGGTTCAACTTAAGCCGTCCTTTCATCTGCACTGCTTACAGGACCTTCCCAAGTGTCTTCTCTGCCTCTCCTTACTGTTAGCTTCAATGCACACACACACACACACACACACACACACACACCAAGAAAGTTGTCCAAAAAGTATGATCTCAAATCCTCTGCAGATGCAAAAGTTGGTGCACACATCACTTCAGCAGGAACCTCATACAGACCTCCACAGACCTTTTATGATACCCTGTGCATCTCTCAAAGTCTCACACCTCTGTGCCCTTGATCATGCTGTTGTCCCTATATAGAATACCTACCCCAAGAAGAAATGAGGTTCTTATTTGCTACAGCCTGTCACAAAATCTACTTTCTTTAAAAAAATTTCATCTGCTCAGCCTCATGTACTATGCTTTAAAAAAAAGAGTTTGGTGGTATTTAAATTTCATGCTCATGAAAGTCATTTACAGTTAGAGAATAGAATAGTCTTACTGAAATATCACTCCAGAACTTGGAAACATCATGCTGATTGGCTTGCAGGAATTCTGTAAACCACCTGATCGAACGCTTGCTGCCTTTGTCTTCAGTTTCATTGCGTTCAAACCGCTCATTATGTTTGTTCACAGAGTAGTTGGTCAAATGCATGTACAACTGGGTCTGTAAGAAGGAAGAACAAAGTGTTGCCACCTAGGAGAGCCACAACCACGTGGTGTCACAGGGAAGAGAGTCTCAAAGACCAGTAAAACCTGGAAGCTCTTAAACCAGCATACTAGGGTAACGCTGTTTCTAGAAGCCAGAGGTTGATAAAAAGAAAATCCCTGATGATTTTGATCTGAGGATGAGATACCCCCTGCAAAATGATGGTCAGTGAGGGCCCAGAGACCCCAAAACCAATACAGGCAATAGTCACTGCCACTGAGTCCCCACCAGGGCTAGATATTACTGCTGGAAACACTACAAGCTCTGTTCACATGAAAATTGAACTAGAACTGTGTCTGAGGGTCAGAGAACAGAGCTTGCCACTAGCTAACCACAGAGGTCTGGAGGTCTGTACAAACTGACAGGAAGTGAGGTAGCTGGGCAGAAACAGGATCTAAGCAGAGAGAAATAGGAAATCGCTCTCTTGTCTGCTGAGACTCTACGGAGGTAAGGTATGCGGTGGCAAACTGAGTTGAAACCTTCCTCCCTGCTGGCTCATTTTCATAGTGTTGGAGAGTGCTATGCTGTGGGGTTAAAAAAAAGTCATCGTCAGTCTTGTTGATGACCAAGCAGGTAAGATGCTCTTACTGCTGCAATAGTGGCAAGTCAGTAATCAGATAACCAACCACATCCTGATTGGACCCGAGGTCCACTCCATAGCAGTGAATCCATATCTGGCACTGTAAACCTGGTCAAAACCCAAGACTGGAGAGACAGTAGATCATGATGAGGAGGCTATTGCTGCTGTGTTGCCAAGTGGATATGATATGCCCATGAGTTAGGGCTGCTGCAGTGTTGACCTGAGGAGCTTCTCTATGCAGTGGGCTTGGCACCTACTGAGACTCAAAACTGGTCAAAGTGATGAGCATGCATCACAGTTGAGTGCTCAACTCTATACAGAACATCTGCATTGTCCCCTCCAAAGCTTAGTGGACACCACAGCAAGGGGTGGAGCAAGGATGTTGCACCCATGAATTCACAAAAGCTGTAATTACTTGCACAAGACATGCAGAACATTAGAACACTCAGTGTCCATTGATGAAGGTCCCACCCGCCTCGCTGAGGGACCTATAGGAAATAAGTGATAGCTGGGGGAGAAACAGACATTTTCTTCAGTAGAACAGAAAGCAGTAGGGTTGCCTATGCTCCTGTAAATAAGCCTTTCCCCACATCCCTGTAAGGAACCCAAGGAAACTAAAAAAGAAAAAGACATGCAAGTATAAGAGAGGCTGGCTAGAAAGAGATAGGGCATCAAAGAGAAGAGGGAGGATGAGAGAGGGTAATAGGGGAAATATGATCAAAATGCATCATTGTATATGTATGAAACTATCATAATGAAGCCCATTATTATGTATAATTAATATATGCTAATTAAAATCGTACACATCTAAACCATACCAACTGACGATCTTGGTGCTTAAATATTTTCTGGTGAAAATTTACTTTTCCCTTGAGAGAACTGTGTGTGTTCCTACTGCAGAATGACTTTACTAATTATTTATGATATCTGTAACTAAACTTCCAAATGAATGACAACAGAGACAAAAAATTAAAATGTGAAACCAGACTCTGAGAAGCAAAAATACTCCAAGTCTACCTTCATTAGTCAATTTGTTTTTACTGCTTGGCCCCCAACATTGCTCATCCAAATCTATTCAAGGAAGGAATTTTCTAAGAAACTTTCTCCATCTCTTAAGAGAACAATTAAAAAATGAATAAGCAGGGTACCGAAGAGACAGGACTACAAACATATCTGTCCCCTCACCCCACTCTGACCGAGAAGGCACCTGCACTCTCTGTAGTCTCAGTGCAGCTGGTGTCAACAAGCTGTGAATTTGCTAACGTTGACAAATGACAAATGTGAAACAGACATGACTCCATTGGTGTCATTAGTGCTTCAGACTCTTTGTATTACTCTGTTGCTTTAGGCAGGGGTGTTCGGTGTTGACAGGGTCTCGCTGGATAATCTGGAACTCGCTGTGTAACCCACACTGACCTGAAACTCACAATAACCCTCTTGCCTCGGGTCCATGAGATAGCCACACACCTAGTTCTTTTGTTTGTTGTTGCTATTTTCTTCAGGTAAACTTGAAAAGAATCCAGAAATCAAATCTTCTCTTAACAATCAGTAAACATCTAACATTTCCTCATCAAATTAGCATAAACATTAATAAATTCCATCCTTAATTACCACCCTTTTCCTAATCCTACTCCCCAAGATAGTTTTGAATAGAAAAGGTTCATCATGATGAGTATATACACGTATATATTTTACATACATGTATATCTATATATTCTACCCATATGACCATTATTTTGATTCTTGATAACAATCTGTACCCTTCTGACATCTTATCTTTAATATAATTCCAGAGGTCTGTGTATTAATTAAAATCTTCAGAGCAAATAAACAGAGACAGCTTCTTGTTTATTAATCTGTGTGCCCATTACTACTGAAAATGTCTTTTCATTCATGATGCAATATTTAAGGAGGGCAGAAAGAACCCCAGAAAAGCCTGCAGACATTAAATTGTGTAGCTATTCCCAACACTGTTTGTCATCACATAGGTTTAATCAAGTGAACGGATAAATATGAAAATTCTAAAGAATGGACCAGTCCCTCCAGAAGATGGGTATGTTGGCATGTGCCTGTAGTTCTAGCATTTAGAAGGTGGAGACAGGAGAATCAGGAGCTCAAGCTCATCCCTGGCTACATAATGAACCCAGGCCAGTCAAGATTAGATGAGAGCCTGTCTCAGCAAAGCAAAGCAAAACAAAAAAATGAAAGCTATATTTCAACATTTGTCATAATCTCTGTTACAGCCATGAACAAAATGACATGTAATGATGTTCATAAATCCATTAATAACTGCAGTCAAGTTTACAATATAATTTCCTACTAATATAGGAGCTATTAAAAATGTACATTAATTATTTTAAAATTAGAAATTAGAGTAAAAAAGAACTATGCAACAGCATGCCATTCCAAAACCACTAAAGGAACTGTTTTGACTTTTCTTTCACCTTTTTAAAAACAACCTCTTACATAATTGTATAATCGGTTTACATAAAATTTTTGAATGCTTTTCCACACAACCATCCAGGGATTCAGTAGTGAAATAACAGAGATAAATGATTGATACTGGCATTTAAGAAGAACTTACCTTTTCTATATATGTAGGAACTTACAGTTCAAAACTATCAAATCAAGCACAGGGCTTTTACCTCTCTGTTCTCAGCCTTCATTATGATCTTAGCCCGGTGAAATTACTATGCATACCCAGCTTAGCATTTCAGAACAGAAGCCCCCAAGCCTAATCCTGTCTAGCATCCTCAGTAGACATCATCAACTTACACAAACATGACCCACTTTTACCCTTTCCAATTGTTTAAGTGATAATGCACAAGCTGGCATGTCCTAAGAACTCAAACAGTTCTTCCATGAATAACCAAATCCATGCGGGACAGATCCAGTTGAAGGTCAAGGCCAAACACGTTAATTTCCCGCAAAGCCTTCAGCAGCTCCTGAAGTTCCTTGCCATGGGGATACAGCCCATTCTCCCAGTGTCCAGGCCAAACAGGACGCGTTTTGTCTGACTTCTCTTACCCCACATGCCCAGCTCATCACTCTGCCATAGCAATGCTCTCAGCATTGCCTTAAGAATAGCTCAAACCCGTTCTCAGATTCCTAGTCTGACCCGAATTTCAGAGTCACCTCTCATCTCACACATGGCTAGACTGGAATGGTGTACGTTTCCCACACTTCAAGTCTGTTATTGCCCCCTGTATGGTCTATTCCCATCTCATTTCCCCCACGGCAGGCCAGATGGGCTTCCTAAAACCTGAGTTCCCCAAGTCCTGGAAAGTCCTCTGTGGTGTATGGAAAATCCTATCTCGGGGACCCTCTGCGCTCATCACCGAGCAGACACATCCTTCCTCCTGCCCCGTGCTTTAACCAGACTGAACTTGTCTGCTTCCTACAGACTTTGCATAGTCTTTCCCCTAATCCTCTCTTTTGGCAGATGCTCTCCTCAGCCCTGAGCCTGGCTAGCTCACTTGTCTTCTTCTCTGACCTTCGACTCCACTCCATCCGGAAGGATGGCCCACTCTGCATTCCCGTAGCTCCACCCCCAACCCGCCACCCCCAATCCAGAGACCCGCCATCAGGTATTCTAAATCCTGACTTGATTTTTCTACCTCTCCACTAGACTGTGGCTTCACAAGCCACACACTGCATTTAAGTAACGTTTATGTTACCATTTCCTCAAAAACAGCACAATTCTAGGGAACGCAGTGTACTTCAAACATACATGGGGAAAGCTAAAATTAAACTTTGGAACCATAAATAAAAATGTCTATTTTGATGTCTCTTCCTAATATTTTTATAGTTCCCTCATTTTTTTTCTTTGACAGGCTTGTGAAAATTTTAGTTTACTGAAGGTAACAACGTCGAGGGTCAGCCACTATCTAAAGCTGAAACGACTAATCTTACTAAAAGCATGTGCAAACATGAACAAACAGGATTTGGCCTTTGAAAATCTGAGAAACAGCAACTGTTACGTTTCTTACAGTCAGTCCATTCACAATCTAAGATTAGAAGTTAACTAAATGTTTATGGATGATAAATTATAATTTAACATGTATAAGCAATAAATTATATTTTATTATCTTCAAGGAAAATTGCAGTTACAACTTGCATGAAGATTATCTGCTGCACAATGAAAATCTTAGTGAAAAAAGCATACTTATAAAATGGTTCATTTAGTAGACCTCTCAATGCATTCAGAAACTGTCCATGTTTTCCTTAACTTCATGTATGGTCAATGCAAATTCAGAACCTACCTCGCTTTACCACTAAAAACCAACCCTAACCGCTGATAGCTTTTAATTTTTATCTGCACACATCCGTCCATGTGTACATGTCCACACTGGGCCTTGTACACAAAGCCTGGTCAAGCGTCAGCTCTCCCGTGAGAAGTTGAACCCCTACACTTCATTACATTTCCCACACAACGTTGACTTTATTTCTAGCGCAGCAATTTCCAAAGAGGTCCCTGCATAGAGACGCAAGCGCAGAGCACAAACCCGAGAGCATCTTTCCCTAATTGGCTAATCGGACATTCTGTCTGGTTTCCACAAAGCTGTCCGTGAGACGCGCTCTTACTTACGTGAGTGATTCCTCCACCCATAGGCTCCTCGGGGAAGGAGCGTGGACTCATACAGCCCTTACACATCACATGACTTAAAGGCAGACACTGAACAAATGAGCGATGGCGGCGTTCTCTAGTGTGACTTACCAAGTTGGACTCATTTGGCGGGATGTACTTCTCTGTCCCCATTCGCACAAGCCCATCATGGTAGAGAAATATCTTTAAAGGATCACAGGATGTCACCAAAATATAAATCCGTAAATCAAACTTGTAGCCTTCCATTAGGAAAGGCTTTTCAATGTATTCTTGAACTATCAAATGATCCTGAGATGGAATTTTATCCCCATTTCTTATCAATGAAATCCTAAGTTTAAAGGAAACAAATAAAAATAATTGGATACGGAGGTTGAGATGCCGGCAGAAAAAGATGTCATCTATGTGCTCAGGAAGAGAACAGTGTTGCACACATTCCAAAACCCTGCCCCTCCACAGGAGCAACGGGTGAGGGGGGTGCTATCAGAGTCAATTCTGTGGAGGCTCAGAAGTTCAGCTAAAGCTTGAAACACCCAGAGAACGTTTTACCATGGAGGGAGGAAGAGTAGAGGGGGAAGGAAGGGGAGAAAATAGCAGCTAAATTCTGGTTAATGGGGCTTTTGGCATTTTAACTAATCCCATTACATCGTTCAATCCCCGTTCAGCAGTGGTTTGAACAGCAACCCAGCCCCCAGCCCTGAGGCTCGTTCTAGAGTGATCCAAGTGGACCTGCTTCTTGTGGCTGTTTACTTTGATCTGCCTTGGACTTGCCTGACTCGAAATACCTATAATAGGAGAAATGACGAAATGGTTTCGAACCTACGCAAGAAAATTGATATTTACATAGAAGAGAGCAAAGTAATGAAGAAAAAAATGAAACCACATGAAATATAGCAAGCATGACATAGAAACATAAAGCAAACAGTAAAACGGCAAAGGAAAAACAGTCTCAGTAACTAAATGAAACTTTGGTAGATTGGCTTGAAAATCGGGACTTGAGAAATGGGTTTAAAAAACAATTGGTCTAACTGCAATGTCATCTAAAAAAAAAAAAAGACCTCCTTTAGAACTAACTAAAGATACAAAAGGCTGCGTGCTAAAAATGACGGGGATAGGGAAGCAAGGAGTATTCTAAAGTGGTTACACTTATACCCAGCTAAACAGAATTGCCGTGGCAGACAAGAGACATGATGCTATGCCGTATGATAAGCAAACATCTCAAGAACATAAAAATTAGAAATTGTATCTCTGATGAGCTATAAAATTTAGCAAGCAAGAAGTGATCAAAATGAAGGGAGACAAGGCTCAGCCTTGGTAGTCTCAGTCAGTAGCCAATTCTCAATAACAGTAGCGAGAAAGTGGAGACAGGCAGCAGGTAACAGACGTCCCCTGCGTCCATCCACTGTCATCACAGGACATGATGCCACGCTGCGGAGAGTGCCCTTTCTGCAATGTTTTCCCAGGTTTTTTTCTGCATTGCTATCAAATATATTGTACTAGTATTAATAAACATTTTTATTAATTTATCACAATTATTAAGAAACACATACCAATCATCATCCCTCCTCCAATTTCCTTTTCACTAACAGATAACAGAAAACTAACATGGCGGTAATCAAAGGACACAAAATCTCCACTCACTAATGCATTTCTTAATTTGTACATGCCAAGCATGGCTGAACAAGATATATGATTGGATCAGTGCGTCGTGTTACAAAGTTAAATGCTTTATTTTTTTAATATTTAACTGGGAAGCTACCATTTCCAAGGGTATTTTGAAGTGTGCCACTTTAAATCCAAAAAAGTTCAAATGACTCCCATGCATTTTGCTAAATGCAGCCTCAGCCAACTTTCTATTTTAAAAAAATGCGTAATAAAAACTAAACATAAGCAAAGAGGGTAAAAAAATCATGCTGTGCATTCTATTTATTCCTGGATAAACTATCTAGTTCTTTGGCATGTTAGCTCAAAATGTGTCCTGGGCAACCTCAATCCAATCACCATGGCTACGAAAGGAAAACATTCATAAAGCAGGGAATATAGACATTTTGCTTCAAGCATTCTCATTATGACAAGATAACTCTCTCTATTTTAGCTCTTTGGTAGCAATGTATCTTATTATTCAAGATTATTGAAATAATTATAAGCATCTATTATGCTTATGAGGAAATAAAATAAAATTTCCCTGCAAGGTATGATTTCTCTAACATCTCACAACTCTGTCGTATTCTTAATTGGATTACTGAAGTCTGTTAGAAGATTCAGTCATAAAACAGACAGTTTCAAACTTACTGTTTTTCCAGTATGATATTCAACCATGAGTAATTATGTGCATGTCTTCTCTCTCGGTTTTCAATGTTTATATTTTCCAGAAAAAAAAATTAACCTACCCATGACCCATTGCGCCATTAGCTGGTTTTATTATAAAAGTTTTCTGCTTCCTTTTTTTCTTCAATTCTTTCACATAGTTTTGGAACTGGGTATATTCAGAAGGGAAAATCCATGTTCGTGGAACAAAAGTATAATCCAGAGGCAGAGACTTGATCATTCTGTAAACCAGAGAAAGAGGAACCATAAATTCTATCCAAACTTAATAAATCCTATTTTTGTGACTGTGCAAGACTCAAATTTCTTTGTTCTTTCACTTATTCTTTTACTTATTGTCCTATTCAGAAAATGTCTGTGTACTAGACAATAGCCCAAACTTGAGATTCTCAACATTGGCTTGTGTTTTAATACCTGGAGTATTCATGGGGTTATGCACTGGGCTGGGCACTGGTGAAGCATGGAGACTTAGCGAGGCCTCTGCCTCCAGTGAGTTTACTGATAGGCTTTGCACGCGGCACAAAGGGCAGAGTAACAGATATCTGTGAGTCATCTCTCTGAGCCCGTTACATCCTGTGCAAAGGTAAATACTAGAACCTGGGAACCTGGGAACCATGGGAACTTGGGAGCCATAGGAACCTGGGAACCTGGGAACCATGGGAATCTGGGAACCTGGGAACCATGGGAACCATTAGGACTACTCTAGTTCTGAGCATCTCTCCCCCATCTGACTAGTATTCATCTGAACACAACCTTACACCAGCCACAGTATAAATTTTGCTTAGGTATTCTCTATACAAGAAAATGAAGATTACTTGCTCATATTTCTTGCTAAGAAATCCTTCCTACAGATCTCCCCCATTCCTGGAAAATGGTTGATCCTCTGAAAAATAAAAAGGTAAATATTAACATCTACTAAATCAATGACTATGCTCTTTTAAACTGTAACACAGGTAAGTATATCCTTTAAGATTTATGTTCCAATAGATTAGAAATTATTAATATAAAGGATTTTAAATTAAATCGCTAGCAGTTAACTTTTGAAATCAAAGAATATGAAATTAAAGAATAATAAAATTTTAAAAATTAAAATAAAATTGTAATATTCTGTTTTTGATGAATGGCAATTCAATATCCAAACTGCTTTGGAACACTAGACATAAACACAGACATTGATAACATGGGACGTAAAACATTTGCTGTATCTTTTCTACCATGCATTTTCTGAGTCTAAAGTAATGTGGAGGAGGGGGATGGGCAGAGGGGATGGCATGGAGGGGCAGGGGAAGAGGATGTGGAAGTAGGAGGGGGAAGGAGGGGAAGAGGATTGGGATGAGGAGGATATGGGGAAGAGGGGAAAAAGGAATTATGGGGGAGGGGGAAGGAATAGGGAGAAGAGGAAGAAAGAGGGGATTAGAGAGGAGGAGGGAATGGGAAGGAGGGGAAGGGGAAGAAGAAGGAGGGAGGGAGGGAGGGAAGGAGGGAGGGAGGGAGGGAGGGAGTCAAATGTCAATTGTCTTGGATTCCGTGTAGGCTTTTCTATTTGCTTTTCATTTCTTCTGCACATCTTTGATTGCAATATAGAGATCAAAGCCAGAAGGTGATACTTAAGGTATTTGTCCACACAGACACAACTCATCTTAAGGGGGAACTGAAAGCATTGTCTTAGACAGAACTCTTTCCTAGATACTGCTGTAAAGAAATGACTAAAGGTTAAGTGTGAACATGATGCAGCCTTCGTAGGAAAAGGCAGCACAACCAGCTAGCAACAAGACAGGCCATGTAACTCAGAACTGAAATCCAACATGTCAACAGATGAAGACGATACGTAAAGAAAATCAGTAAATCAAGAAAGCCAGTGACAGAGAGAGAGGACTGATGACCAAAGGGATTAAGACTGGGCTGGGTTAACCCCCAGAAACAGCTGACCTGACAAGGGTTAGCTCTTGAATCCCAGGCATCAGCCTGGGAATCCAGCATGGGACTGACTGATCAAGACCCCCTGAATGGGGGTGTCAGTGAGGAGGCCTAGGTAATCTATTGAGCCTTGGGTAATAGATCAGTGTTTATCCCGGGTATACACATGGACTTTGGACTCCCATCCAACAATGTGAGATGCACTCTCACCCTGAATTCTTGGAGGAGGGTCTAGGCCCTGCCCTGGATGAAATGACAGACTATGGACACCCCCTGGGGAAATGAGGGGATATTTGGGGGTTGGGGGAGGGCACGGGGGTAGGGGAGGGAAACGGAGAGGGACCTGGAACTGACTTGTGAAGCAACCTTGTTTCTAATTTAAATTTAAATTTAAAAATAAATAAGAAAAAAAAAGAAAATCAGGATGGAACTAGTGTAACCACAGACACACACTCACACACACTCACAGACACACACTCACACACACTCACAGACACACTCACATACACTCACACTCACAAACTCACTCACATTCACACACAGACACACGGACTCACACACACAGACATGCACACATACACTCACACACACACTCACACACACATACACAAAGACACACATACACACACACAGAAACACACACACAAACACATTCACACACAGACACACACTCACACACACTCACACACACTCACAGACACACTCACACTCACAAACTCACTCACATTCACACACAGACACACGTACTCACACACACAGACACGCACACATACACTCACACACACTCACACACACATACACAAAGACACACATACACACACACTCACACACACAGAAACACACACAAACACATTCACACACAGACACACACTCACACACAGACACACACTCACACACAGACACACACTCACACATACAGAAACACACACTCACACACACACACACACACACACACACACACACACACACACACCATGCCCCGGGACAGTACCTGCTGGTGACTAATTCCCACCTGGTAGTTCTGCAGCTCTGTGATCTTCTCCTGCTGAACGGCAGCATCACACCATATAAGGTTACTCGATTCATCTTCATCTGGAGTTTTCATATATCCCATTTCATCTATCACTAAACGAACTGAAAGGAAATGATTAAAATAAACGCGAGTTAGAACCCTTTAAAGACACTCATTGCGGAAGTGTGTACATATACCCACAGCAGTCTATTAGCAAAGTAACCACTACTTACAACATAAGCTCACAATTAGTGGCAGCAGTTTTATCTAAGGCCAGATTATTCTCCACAATAGCCGGGAACTGAATTAGACTGCACCAAAAATCCTTAGTTATAGTCCTCTCAGATTTACCAGAAACGCAGCGCTTATTGAAAGTGGCTTAGAAAGTGACTTTGGCTAGCACCATGAAAACTCACAGATAGCTACAGACGGACATTCACTGTCTCAGCTTTTCCATGACCTGGAACTAGGTATAAAATTGGAAAGGTAAAAAATCCTTGACCATCGGATCTACTGTGCCTTTACCTTCCCAGTTCCCGTTACAGGGAAGCCAGATCACAGCAGGAATTGAGAATGGCTCCCTACTGCTCCCAACCCTGAGATCCTGATGAAAATATTCACGCTTGTACTAGAAAGCATATTGGTCCTCCTTAACCTAGACGCTGTGGCACGTGGCCATCAAGAGTCGCTAGACCCTGTGCGGGTTAGACGGTTTATTAGGAGAGAGAACACTCACGTAAGAGCCGAATGGCTGCCCCGGGTACCAGCTCCAAGGGTCCTCCCAGGTTGTCCTCCGCCCCGGCCAGAGAGCGCCCCTCCTCCAGCCAACCTAGATCCTCCCCTCCTGTACGCACCTGTGACCAAGCCTAAATGGGTGTGGTCAGCGCCATGGGCGCAATAGTTAGATCTCTTGCTACAAGATGCCGTGATTAACATATTGGCATTTTTGTTTCGACAAATCTCGAGTTTAAAATTAAGATGAGCCATGCAGTGGGGATAAGCTTTGGGTTCTGGTGAGTTCTGAGACCTAAGAAAACAGTGTGTACAGATGGCTTTGCTTCAGTGATCCTTCCTAACGCTTTGTTCATTCCACTAATAAATGAGAGGTGACGTGAACTGTGGCCGACTCAGCTCAGGTGCAAAACTGGTAATCAGGAACGGTTGGCCTCAAACCCTGAGGGCTCGTGGCTATTTGCTGGAAGGACTGGCTTTATTGACAGTGATGCCTGGGATACAGGAACACCTGAAGAAGTCATGGGACCATCTAAGTGAGATCAAAGAGCTGCTTACCGAATTTCAGTGGAATGAAGCTTGGAGTTATACTGATATCTTGTGTCATTACGTACACACACACAAGACTGGAGGAAAGAGCCACTCTCCGGTGTCACAGATCATGCCATCACAGGAAGCCCCGCCCCTCAGGGCTTCGATGCTACTGTGCCATTTGGACACATATGGAAAGCAGGAACAAGTAGCATTACGTCCTGCGGGATTCCTCTAATAGGCCAATAGCAGAAACAGCAGCAGGGCAGAATGACTACTCTACTCGTGATGGAGACACACCCTCTGAGCATCACTGGTGAGACCCTGATGAGGAGACAAGGAGAGCTGGCAGTGGTTGAGTTAGCTCAGCTGCTACCTAAGTCTTGGGTCTTCCAGTACTCACATTCCAGTGAGGCCAGATGCTTTCAGATTACATAAGAATGGTTGAAAAGATCCCCTCTTTATTCACCAGTCTTCAGAAGATCAGACAGGTAGGGACCTTTTTTTAATGATGAATTCAAAGCTCAGATAGCTGATAATGTTGAACATTACAGAAAAAAAATCCAATGTTAGGTATAGACCTACCCTTTTTTTTCAGCTAAGCTAATTGAATGCATTTTTTTGTTTGAACTGAAAATTTAGAAATCAATTAGCACCTTTTAAAGCAGATCATCCTCCACCGCATAGGAAAAGAATTCTTCTAACCTGTCAGTGGGTTTTACAGAAGCAATTTAGAAATCCATTACATAAAAGATAATCATCTCTGCAAACCCTACATTGTTTGCCACGCCAAGGCAGCTTTTCCCACAACCACGAAGAGTGCAGGACTATGAAGAAACTCACCAATTTCAAACTTTGTCCCAGAAACATTGGCTGTAATGACTCCCTTCTTTTTCTTTTTTCTGACTTTCCTTTTCGTTGTGCATTGATAAGGCAACTCTGTATTCAGATCCAGGGGAGAGGATCCCTGAATGACTTAAAAAAGAAATAAAAACGGTTGTCACTAAAATAGAAACAATGTGACCAGAAACATTTATGCTGCCCCAGCAAGGAGAAACTACAAACGGTGACCCTTCCAAAGCGTGTATATCATGTATTCTAAATGCATTCATAGCCTGTAGTATGGTTAAGACAATCCACTTACCCCCTTCTTGAGGCAGAGACGGCATGGTCACCTACGCCAAACGAGCAAGAACCGTGCGTACAGTACCAAGTTCTCAGTAAATCTGGAAGTCCCACGTTCATCTAAGAAGTTCCTATCATAGTATCTGGGTCAAAATCTCAGATTTCACGACACAAGTTTTGGGCTAGGAAGCTACCTGGAGAGGTTTGAAAACAAAGTTATTTTAGACACAACTTCATGGTATGCTAATGTCATTCTTGTGAGAAACCACATAACAACAAACAGTATGTTTGTTAGCCAAAACAGTATGCATTAATCAATTATTAACTCATATAGAAATGCCAAATTGTGCTTTCTAATCTGAAAGCACAGTCTAAACAGAGAGTTTTGGTTTGGTTTAATCCACAGGCCCTTAACTATGTAAATTACACACAAAACTAAAATAATAACAAAATTCATTGCTGTCCATTGAACACTGATAATCTTAAGATTTATAGTAAAAGGAGAGCATTTAATCAAGCCTGAGAGGGAGGTTTTTTTTTTTTATTCCTGTGTTACAGAAAAGTTCACTGAGCTCAGAAAGGGAAAATAATTTTCTCTGCTTAAAAGGTAAGAGGTAAAATGGAGGTTGTAATGATGTGTGTCAAAGACAAAGTCCCTGAGCCAGGAACCCATGCAATCGTCAATGCAATACTTCACCAGTTGCTGCGACAACGCATTTAACATGAAGCAGTGAAATCGCACCGAGGGTTGGGGGTTGCTGGCACAATGAATGTAGGCAATGATTCATTTTCACAGGGGTAGGGAGGAATGGCTTCCTAAAGCAGAGACTGAACCACGCCTTAAGATACAGGAATAAGTTTGGATGGCACAAATTAGGTAGGATCTTATTTAAACGCATAGAGGGACACAATGTCCCCTTAAGGAATGAACTATCTTGATTCAGTCACAAACCTGATAGGACCCTCAGTGTGCTCTGTGGGCGCCTGCAGTGTCTGTGGAAGAATTAAGGCATCCATGCCCTGACTACACTGACAAGTCCATGCTATCAACTCTTTGATTTCTCTCTTCTTTGAGCTCTTGTAAAACATCTCTAATCATAATGGGAAAAGACACCAAAACTACTACGTTAAACTAAGGGATGACATGGGGACTTTCACCAGATTATTGGGTTTTTCAGAAATCCTGCTGTAGTAAAGTTGACCCACTCAGCCATCATCCCTAATATTCATTATTAACAATAAAATATCATTAGAGGACATTGACAGCCTTATTTATTCTCTGGTATCACTTTGATGCAAATATGTCTCCAGTATGATTCACTATAAAAAATCAGTAAAAAGTATTATTTATGAGAGACCTACAGTGGTCAGGCGAAGCTTAAAGTAGTCAAAGCAAGTAACCCTATTAGCAAGCTTTGAACTTCAGTTCATTTTCCCACAACTTCTAGATATAGAAACTATGATTTAAAATTGAAAAACAAGCGTTTCGATTCAGTTCTGCCTAAGTGGGCATCTCATCCTCCAGCTCTATTTTTAGACACCACACTAATGCTACACAGACATAAGGAGCTTGCAAGGCTAATTTGGTCCTTCTGGAAATTCGCAGTGCTTCCATCCGAACAGGGAACTCACAGTAAACATCTCTAAACTGGTCTCCCAGCTCCCAATTCCAGCTGGAAATGGGTGAGGTCACCACTCAGAAGGAAGAAAGGAACGGCCCGGAGGTCAGTTCAGTTCTGTTTAGAAGCTCTCTGATACTCAGGAAGGAGACCAACACCTTGTTACTGGAGTAAGCAAAGGTCCCTTTACAGTAACACCTCACCATCCCATTAGAAGTCGGTGACAAAGTCAGTAAGAGTTTGGAAACTGCTTTTAGGAGTACATCAGGCTCCTAAAACAGATCTGTCAATTTCTGAACTTAAGTTATGAAACAAACAACTTTGAAGTGTGGAATAAAAAGTGTTGCAGTAGCCACACAGGAACTTGAAGCGTTTATGATTTGGCGGAAGTGCCTGACAAACTTGATTGAATCCCCCCAGTTCTAATTAAATCACTTTATTTTAGGCAAGAAATTTGAGAAAGCACATCCACAGCACCAAGCAGGCAAGCTACTGTGATCCACCCTCCAAAGGCTGGAGGCCTGGTTTATTTTACCTAGGAAATACTTTAAGTCAACAGTTACTCACAGAAAACAAAACAGTCTAAACATCAGAGTCCTGGAACTCCTCCCCACTCTTCTCAAACCTCTACCTAAAACCTAGACAAACAGCTACTTCAGCCTTTGCTCACGTGGGAGTGAGTCATTCCTCCCTCCTCTGGCCTACGGTGGGGATCTTTATATGCATCTCATCAAAACCATCCATCTAGAAGGTGACTTCCCCAAAGAAGGCGGCTCCCTTCAGTCTTGTTCAGCATTTCACTCCCAGAGACAGAGCCTGGCAGTGCTCAGTAGACACTGCTGCTAAGTTAATGGGTGCTACGGTTTGGAGAAACTCGGTCCCTGGTGTAGTATGATGAAGGAGGTGAGTGGGCCATAAAGGTTTCTCTCCTACACAAAGCTTCATACAGTGTGTGACCCTTTTTGATCAAGTTAATGTATTAGGGGACTTTCATTTCAGCTTCAAAAGGCTGAACCATGACAAATGCACATTAACTCATGATAATGTTAATTATAACATCTTTAGTATGTGGAGTAGCTCAGGTATGTGGAGTAGCTCAGTGTGTGGAGAAGCTCAGGTGTGTGGAGCTCACTGTGTGGAGCTCAGGTGTGTGGAGGAGCTCAGGTGTGTGGAGGAGCTCAGTGTGTGGAGGAGCTCAGTGTGTGCAGGAGCTCAGTGTGTGGAGGAGCTCAGTGTGTGTGGAGGAGCTCAGTGTGTGGAGAAGCTCAGGTGTGTGGAGAAGCTCAGGTGTGTGGAGAAGCTCAGTGTGTGGAGAAGCTCAGGTGTGTGGAGGAGCTCAGTGTGTGTGGAGGAGCTCAGTGTGTGGAGAAGCTCAGGTGTGTGGAGAAGCTCAGTGTGTGGAGAAGCTCAGGTGTGTGGAGAAGCTCAGTGTGTGGAGAAGCTCAGGTGTGTGGAGAAGCTCAGTGTGTGGAGAAGCTCAGGTGTGTGGAGAAGCTCAGTGTGTGGAGAAGCTCAGGTGTGTGGAGAAGCTCAGTGTGTGGAGAAGCTCAGTGTGTGGAGGAGCTCAGTGTGTGTGGAGGAGCTCAGTGTGTGGAGAAGCTCAGGTGTGTGGAGAAGCTCAGGTGTGTGGAGAAGCTCAGTGTGTGGAGAAGCTCAGGTGTGTGGAGAAGCTCAGGTGTGTGGAGAAGCTCAGTGTGTGGAGGAGCTCAGTGTGTGGAGGAGCTCAGTGTATGGAGAAGCTCAGTGTGTGGAGAAGCTCAGGTGTGTGGAGGAGCTCAGGTGTGTGGAGGAGCTCAGGTGTGTGGAGGAGCTCAGGTGTGTGGAGGAGCTTGGGTGCTCACTCAGCTGTTGGCTTCTGTTTTTGTTCCTCTCAGGAGCTATCAGACTTGGCGTTTACCCTTCCCATGCTGTTCTTAATACATTTTTTCTTATGCATCAGTTTCTATGCAATACGTGAGTCTATATAATGTGTATGATTTAACTATGTAAATAATATCCCATATATATTCTTGGGCTGTTATCCCAAATTTGAACCTTTGTGTGACTCATCTACTTCCAGTTCATTCCCTTTCCTTAAGAAGTACCACATTGGAAATCACCCTTGATGTTTAGGCAAGATCTTACTTCAATGGCAACGTAAAACCACTGAAGGTCCCATAGAGTACACCACTGTGTAAAGGAAGCAGGGGAGACAGTGTGAGGGAGACATTTTGAAGGTCCATGACAGGGACAATGACAGGCAGAATCACATATGCATAAAGAGAAAGACAGTGATCCCTAAAGACTTCGAAATGCCTGGCTTAGAGAATTGGGAAGGAGCTGGATTTGTGCTGCAAAAAAAAATCTGCAGAAGGAAAATCCAATCCCAGGAGTTAGCATTTATTTGCAGGGAAATGTGGATGAATAAGGACCACAACAAATGAATAAAATTCATAATTGAAGAAGGTAAGATAAGAAACACCTCTACTTTGTATAGAACACGCCTTTAATTAAACACAGTATGGGGCCAGAGGAATGGTTCTGTGATTAAACTGCTTACTGCACTTGCATAGGACTCGGGTTTGGTTTTCAAAACCCACATAGCTGCACTCAGCTGTCTCTAATTCTAGATCCAAGAGGATCTAATGCAACCTTTTGGTCCCTACAGGTACTGCACACATGTGATGCGCTGACATACACATACATGCAAGCAAAACAGTCATACGCATAAAATAAAATAAATCTTTAAAACACACAGAGAGAAGAGTCCTTCCACAGTCTAGCCCATCCGATTTCTCTATTTCTGCCAAAAAGTGACACTGTATACAGCTGCACAACTGGCAAACAACAGATGACATCACCCTAACTGTTCCCCTAACAATAGTGTATTGACTGTCTTCATTGTGTGTCCAAGCTCAAAGAGTTTGGAGAAGCTACTTGCTTCCTAAACATAAGAACGTTTGTGTCCCATTTCCCGGCTGCTATCCCAAACCTAAAGAGCTGGCAATGTAGAATGTTGTAGACCTGAAAGAACCATTTGATCAGACACTTCTAAAAAGCTGGTAGGAGCCAAGTGTGAGTAAACCAAAGAAACAAAGAACTATTTATTCATACTGGTCACAGAACTAACAGTGACCTTGGGCAAGAGTAACTCCGATAAGCCGGGCATTGGTGGTGCACGCCTTTAATCCCAGCACTTGGGAGGCAGATGCAGGTGGATCTCTGTGAGACCAGCCTGGTCTACAAGAGCTAGTTCCAGGACTGTCTCGAAAGCCTCAGAGAAACCCTATCTTGAAAAAAACAAAAAACAAAAAAAGTAGCTCCAATGATTTACTATTATCTGCTTTTCAGATTTCCATAGCTTACTTGGTATCTGCTCAATGTTTATGACTGAATGATATCACCCAAATGCAATACCCACAAAGGTCTGTGGAGTGACATGAAAAAAACAAAAACAAAAAACCTGTAGGCACTGTTAACGCAGCATACCTTGAAGGCATCGTCCCTTATTAATATTTATACTTCTACTATATGACACAACAAGAAAACACAAATCTCATTCACCAGGTGTGTAATCAAATGAAGTTCAAATCAAG